CTTGTCCGCTTCGTTTTGATATGGTGCCCTTTCTTTTGGAGAGAGGAGAGGGGTGGTGCACGTCGGTATTTCTTCATAGGATGGCGGATCTCCTTTATAGTACACAAGCTTGAGAGCGTAGAAATAAGGAAGAGAAGGATGAAACGCGTACTCGATGTTTGTCCTTTTTCAGTGAAACACTTGCTTCTCCCCTGACCGCTTCGAGGAGGGGGCTTCCGTACCATTCGGCTGTGATTGTGGTTTGCACATGCTGCCAGACAGGCTGACGCGGAGATTGAAGGCAGGATGCCACTTTTGCTGTGCTGAGGACAATGGTTCAGTGTAGCGGGAAAGATGAGGAACGGGTTCTTTTAAGATGCGGGAGCCCTACGGTGGGTTTCCGGCTGTTCAATCATGAAAGAAATTCCTAAGAAAGCTCAAGCTCAGCCATCAATGCACAAAATTTCACAATTCATGCTGCACACATAGCTTGCAGCCTGCGCGCACTAAGGGCTACTTTTGAGTGGAGTTATGACAGCTCTGCGTGGCTGGAATCAGCCTGGAGTCGCTAGAGAACAAAGACGTTCAGGAGGCACATCTCGGACGACGTGACGTTTTAATTGTTTTGAAAGACTACATCCGCTATACAAAAGTAGCCCGATGGCACAGTTTAGCAACTAGCTGCTCTCCGTATCCCCTGCGTGACTGCATGACGTTTCTGCACTTATGACATCTGTAATCACTTGATTCAATTGGGCACTCGGAGAGTCTAATGTTGAGTCTAGCTCAACTCTCGCACAGTCGTTTCCCATTTTGCTTCTAACAACGTATCAATACTAGCCTGATAGTCCTACATGGACTCGAATGTGCAGACGATGAAGACCGGGCGATTGACATGGCTACCATCTTATTCCATCTCACATCACGATTCAGCGGCCTTCGCAAACGGAAGTCATCTACCCAGCCATCTAGAGCTCCGTGCTAGCATTATTTAGAGTGACATGTACACCTTCCGGAACCCGTGCCGCCAATCTGTGCGAGCAAATTTGAGCTTCAGTTTGAACTGTGATCTGAAAAGCATAAATACCGGGATGACTGACAGTAGAATCCACTAGTAGACACACTGTCGGCGAGACCGGGAGAAAGACCTCTTTTTGAATAGAATTTGATGAAAGGATGGGAAGGTGAAGTCGAGTGAACATCCAGAAAGTTACTTCCCCGTTTCACTCCTGTCTCCTGACCGCGTGTCAGTGCGCCGCGTCGAAGCTTCTTCGTTCCTTAATCTTAGAGGATCTCAGATTTGTCAAGCTCTTCCCTGCGTTGTTCATGCTTGCAGTGCTATTATCTGAAGTCACCCCCTTTGTCTCAGTTGATGGGTGCTGCCCTTTCAACCGGCGCAGCGTGTCTCTCAGGTAATTGACATGCAAATGACGCGCTAAGGAACATCTTCCTGAGAATCGCAATCGATGTTAGAGATGAATAAAACCCCGCGGTCTTGAGGTTGTCAGTTCGAGGAATTGGAGGCAATTATAGAGACTTACAATCTTCCAGTCTTTCCCGGACCTACATCGACGACTGGGAAGGTATTCCGTGTGTGTAAAAGCAAAGGTAGTGTCCATGATCATCGTGCATTAAGATTAAGCGCATCCTCCTATACAGAGTACATTTTGCGACGAATAAAAGCATACGGAGTCTAAGGAATGACAGCAAATTATTCACAATCCATGCGAAAAAACGCTGACGATGTGGTGTAAGTGATGTTATCTGTACGATCGATATCATCGAGCAGTTAGCATTTCTACGAATTAAACCAAGGACGTGGACCCACGATGAGATGAGGTAGCCTACTTGTCTGGCCTTTTCCCTACCCTCCACCATTGCTGTTCCACTTTTAGTACCTCATCACGGAGATGAAAGGTGTGAACGTACCCTCATACAACTATATCCATCAGTGTCAAAGCTATCTTTGGGATTACAGTTGCATTTTCCGTTGTCGTGATACTTCCTTGCGTTGACTGGACAGTGCATGAACGGGTTGTGACGGTAGGCGATATCGTCAAATTGGTGCAGGGCTGAAGAAGGTAGGAAGAGGGAGGCAGCTATCGAGTGGACTGGAGCATCACCCCAACGCTCATAAAAGAATCCTCCAGCTTTGTCCAGGTATTCGAAATACTACAAAAGCCGCTTCGATGAGACAACATTAGCTGAGTGAAGACCAACCTCGGTGTAAGCCTTCGAGCGCCAGAAGCGGAGGTCTCCAATCTCGAAATTCGACCAGAAATGGCAAACTATTCCGACGATACTTAGTCAGGAACAAGAAAGGAGCAAATGAGGAAAACATGCGATTGTATCTGTCTTCCATTCCCTTTCGCATATCATCCACAATGAAGTTCATGCTATTGTCCTTTGCAACGTATTCCGGGTAAAGTTTCACGAACTGCTTGGCGCGTCAAGCGCCGCACTGGGCTTGGTGCAAAGACAAACCTCGCGCGTCGTGTCCCAGAGTGTGCGAATGGTGCGCTCGTACTCATAGATGGTGATTGTGAAGCCATACGTTTTGTTGTTGGCTTCCATCTATGCAATAACTCGGCGAGGGACAGGCTATGTGAGAGAGAGACTCACAAAAAGGAATGGATCGTAGTCCAGGTCACAGAAAAATTCGACACCGCTGCAACCAGTTGCTGTTCCATCAATTTGTCCGTGAGGAGGAGATCTTGAAAGCTTACGGCTCAACTCTCCAATAGTAGTCAAACTGTTCGAGGATTTGTTGGCGGAAAAAGAATCTGCACTAGGCCTTAGCTCCCGTTCCACCTTACCTCGTGTATCTTACCCAGAGTTGAACCTGCACATATGCCTATAACTCTCGCTACCTCCGTAGATGACATTCTCCTCTTCCATTTTCTTCCTCTCTTCCCGAGCCTTGTCTTGGTCAATGAAATCTGGATACGACCAATGCTCCGGCGGTATCTGGGCGAAGTAGCACACTGAACGTGTCATCTTCTGCACTCCTTCCTTGAACTCTTCCGTAAAGGGCACTTCGTTCATAAACACCCAAGGGTACTATCAACACCTCATCAGTAAGCTGTAAAGAGGTGGAGCGAAGAAGTCTGCCACGTACTCCTGCTTTGCGATTGAAGCTGCGCCGCAACGCGATGAATGGCAGAAATTAGATGCAAGGGGAGCTCACCGTTCTTCCACAGAGCGCATCGATTCCTGCACACCCTCTTACCACTATCCCCACAGAGATAATAAAATGCGTACTTTTATGCTTCCAAGCTCTCCATTGCGCACCAAGCTGACAAAAGCGGCGTTTGCCCTTTTGTACCCATTCATGCGAAATGGATTGATGTCTGGGGGTACAGCAGCCCCGTTCGCTCATCTTTCTCATACACTGGCTCCTTCCATCCCTGTACACTGATGTCCTTCATGGCCCCGTCATGCTGGAGATCGTATCTTTCAATGTCCTTCCCGCCTCGCAAATAAGAAAAAGAGGGTATCCAAGACGAAGCAGATTTGAAAGTATTCGTAGAAGGGAGTGAAGGGAGAGACTCGGAGGGAACGAAAAAGACGGAAAGAAGAATAAAGGTTGTAAGGACGAGGGAGAGAGTGCGGATTGGACGGGATTTGAGGTATTGGAGAATTGGGGGACTTGGGCTGTTGGAGGTATTGATTGGGGTTGGATTCGCTAGAAAGTCTCGCCAGGCACCCATGCTGGAGTTGGCTGCGCTGCCTCAAGAAAAAGTGTGAGTTTCGTCGTTTGGAGTTGCTTCAACGAGTTCAGCCCCGATGCGCCGAAATGGGACCGTTCACCACCACGACAACCAAGACATTAGAGACCGAGCGCCACCTGCGGCTTCCCTTAGGCAGTTTCTCTCCACCACCGCCCAGAATGGCTCAACAAGACCCTAACCGTCCTCACGAAGCGTACCCAGCACGCGGACCTCCCTCCCTCAAGAAAGGTCTTCGAGCATCGACATTCAGGCAATGGCAGAAGTACAGCGGCACCTTTGTGTATGGCATGCTTGATCCTGTGCGTCTTTCTTCCGAAATCTTCGAGCAGCTCTTTGCTCACCATCTCATTGGGCCGGGTAGTGGGAAATTGTCCTCCTCCGTGAGCCGCCTCTTCCTAGTTTCTGCGTTGAAGCGTAAGACCTAATCGTACAATGCACTCATCAGACCTCCTCTATTTTATGGTCTTCGCCCTCATCGCTGTTGGAGTCTTCAGATACTTCCCGCAACATGTCCGAATCATTGCGAACCGGATGCTGTGGTATTGGTACGGGGAGGAGGCGGGAATGCCAACCAAAATGCAGTTGCTGTGATTGAAGAGAGGGAAGGGTATGATATACCTTTATAATTGGCGCTTTAAGTGGGTGTATCATTCCTGTAATATTCGATCTTTCTAGTGTTAGAATGGGTGTGTGTTGGAGCTGAATTCATTTGAGAAAGAAAGCTTGGATGGAGCCGGGAAAGAGTTTATCTGTTGACATTGGAAGTAAAATAAGGGACAAGTGATGCCTTTCTTGACAGATTCCTACTTCTCTAGCCATTGACAGCGGCATTCTGTAGGTCTTGTCCTATATCGACAGCTTTTGAAGGGATGATGGAATGATTATGCTGACCCATACTCCTTTTTGTTGTATGTCTCCAGAAGTTGTAGTTGTTCTTGGTTCGCTAATTTTGGTTTGCAAGAAGTAAAGTGCTTGCAGGTGATAGGATCTGATATTTCGGTCCTCAAATTCACTAATATCCACTGTACAAGGCGTCCGAGCACATCTTGAATCTGACATAAGGATTCCGGGAAAAGCGGAGCGTAACTGAAAGACGGAAGAATTGCGGACAACCTTGGGTAAAATGAGTAAGAACGACTAAATTTACAGAGCGGCTCTGCTGAGCCCTCGTGGTAGCATTGGGATGTGCAAGTTGTTGCATAGAACAAAGGCCTACATGGATCAACTCGGTCAAAGCGAAGCACAATTAGGCAGAACAATAAAAATTTTGTACGACGATGGAGAAAAAAGCGAGCCTGCTGGGAGTTGAACCCAGGATCTTCCCCTCCGGAGGGGGACGGATTAACCACTTTCCCACAAGCCCGCAAGTTTGCCAAATAGCCCTCACTTAAGTTTCATACAGGGACAAAGACCAAGATTGTGAATACTCTCTCCCTGCCCTTTGTCTTACTTCTTTTTGTACTTCTTTCGGCCCGTGGAAGGAAAAATTTCGCCAGATAGTTACTGGATCTTGGGCCAGATGCTTTGAATGAAGGTTGGCAGTTTGGTTCGCGGAGTCATGTTTAGTGTCCAGCATAGAATGTCATTGAACAAGCTCACTCACTTTTCATGCAACGATTCTATCAGAACAAGACTCTTGAGACTTATGCCTCCCGCGCCGTATTCCCCATCTCACTACGGCAGTTGATATTCTTCGGGAGGCAGACTAGGCTACGTGATGGAGTGGACAAGAAGGAGACTGAACGGAGGTTGATCAAGGGTGCAAACTTTGTATGTTTTCTTTGAGCCCAGTAAGAGAATTGCGGAAGCGTGGGATATACGGAGAGTACGTGTGATACGTCCAGAATATTGATGAGAAGTCCCACAACGAACAAATTGCTGCACGAGATTTTACGTACGGATTTGGTTGGCTGATATGTGCTGTTCAGCTGCAAACGGAGCTTCCTATCCGCCTCTCCCATCGCGTGAGAGACCTTCAATCACTACCATTCATTGTAGCGACACATCCCTCGCTGGAACTGGTGTACAGCCTGTACCAAGATGCCTTCGAGCGGTCCGTCTCCTCTTTTCACATGCACCACCCTTTGGCTGAACGAAATTCTGGAGCAGTATACGAAACTACCCCACTGTTACGACGTTAGACGAGAACGAGGATTTCTGCGAGTTCATGACCAAGTTGATGGGCAAGCACCAGGTTGTCATTCCCCAGCTAGCAATCGCGTGCGTCTCTCCTTCCCTCCAGATGCGGGGCAAGCGCTAATGAAAGACATTAGCCTAGCAGAGGCTCCTAAGACCGCTCTTCCCATTTCGACACTAGACGCCTTCCTCACCCGCATGTTGCGTTCACGCATATCAAGACGAGTGATGACCTCTCAACACATCGCACTTTCGCGCCAGTTTGAAGAGGGAAAGGAGGATGGGTATGTTGGGATCGTGAATACAAAGCTGAAGCCGGACAACGCGGTGCGGAAATGTGCGAAGATGTTGAGGTTGCAGGAGGCGGGAGGGGAAAAGGTGGATGACAAGCGAGGGAGTATAATTATTGATATTGTTGGTGATGGTGAACGAGAATTTCCTTACGTGGAGGAACATCTTGAGTCAGTTTTGCCTTCTCTCATTTCTTCGTGTCGGGCTAATACTGATGGAGAAAAGATACGTGATATTTGAGCTCCTCAAGAACTCTATAAGAGCTACGAGAGAGAAACACCCGGAGCGTCCTGAAGACTTTCCCATCACTGCCACGGTGGTGATGGGCGAGCGCACGGTGACCATTCGAATATCGGATCAAGGTATGTACCTCCCCTTTAGTCAGCCTCTGCTCAAAGACAATAGGTGGTGGCATCCCTCGACTCTCTCCCGAACCAGCAAGTATTCCAACAGATCCAGATAGCATTTCTTCCTCTTCATCCTCCTCCCTTCTGACCCCACTGTTCTCGACCGCCGCTCGTCGGGAGATCTTTTCTTTCGGACACATGCATTCACGCACCAATCTCATGCCGAACGACACAATGTTCGAAAAGGAGATGATTGCCAAAACATGGAGGGAGGCGAAGCTGGAAGGGACGGTGAAAGAGCAATTTCCAACGGAAAAATCCGAAAAGGGGGAAAGGCGGAAGAGAGATGGAGCGAAGGAAAAGGAAAATGGAACTATGAGGGACTTTTTTGTTTGGGAGAAGAGGAGGTTGGGATTGGGATTGACATTGAGCAGAATATATGCAGAGTATTTTGGTTCGTTCTTTGGGTTCTTGCTCTGAAGGGGGAAGGCTGACCAGAGCATGGGAACAGGTGGATCGATAAAAGTCTATTCGATGGACAATTATGGCAGTGATGCTTATTTCTCGGTACCAAGAGTTGGAGACACCGTTGAAGCGTCGTCTTAAGCTGTCCGCGAACTCAAAGAAAAGATGTATACATTTACACACTGTTTTGTTCCATTTATATCATCTGGTCTCTAACCCCTTTGTTAAATGTGAATGCACACTTGCAAGGGAGTCATTTGCGGCCAAGTGGCTGACAAACGAAATGAGAGCTACACATGCAGGACAGGACGAATCATTCAATTCACAATAACGCTATTTCACAGCTTCCCAACATATACACAGCACAGAATCTCTCGAAATCCCCTTACGCACGCCACTAAGTATAATGAACAGCATGTCCTCCTTTCCTTCCTTCAGTGACAGGATCGGGTCCAGAAGAACCGCCAAAGCCGTGCGAAGGCAGGACTCGTTTGTCAACCGATCCGTCCTTCTTCAATCCATCTATCCGAAACATGAGCACTTAAAGTGGTTGGGAGAGTGATAGTGTGAAGACGGACCATGCTCAGACGGCTTGTAAATTGGGCCTTTGCTTCCAGCTCTCCCAGTGGATTGCTCAGGTTCAGCAGTCTTATTTTCACGGAAACGCATATCTGGGGCTCCATCCTTCTTGATATGTGCCTCGTGACCCACTTTTCAGGTATGATTAGCGTCGAAGACAGGAACAGAGCGAATACGAACACTCAGGTTCGTGGCTTTGCATCCTCTTATCAATCCCTCCATCTTTGGTCAGTCCCCCTATACCATATCTCCATTAGCTCACGCACGCAGAAGGAAAAAAGGACGAACCATGCTCGGAAGGCTTGTACTTAGCGCTCCCGCCTGCACTTTCCTCAGGCTCAGCAGTTTTGTTCTCTCTGAACCTTTGATCTGGTGCACCGTCCTTCCTCAAATGGCTAGACTTTCCCGTAGGAGATTCGGGTTCGGCAGTCTTGTTCTCTCGAAACCTGTGGTCTGGAGTACCGTCTTTCTTCAAGTGACCGGATGGAGGCGTTGGCGACACAGGTTCAGCGGTTTTGTTCTCGCGGAATCTGTGATCGGGAGAACCGTCCTTCTTGAGATGTGCAGTTTGAGCTGAAGATTCCTGATTCTCCCTAATCCAAATGAAAATACGTTAGTTTCCATATTTCAATTGAAGCTAGGCTTGAAAGAGAACGCACTTGTATCGCTTGTCAGGAGTTCCGTCTTTCTTGTAATGGGTCATTTTGGTAATGTTTTAATGTGTGCTTGAAGTGGTGGGTTCTGGGTTCTGATCTAGACGGAAAAAAGCAGATGGAAGAGTGGCTTTTATACCTTCACCAGTCTCGTTTGACTCCACGAATCAACCAAGAATGCATGACGCAAATGACGAAAAGATCTGCGATTTGCGACAATATTGATTGGTGACGTGGCTGGACGACGCGCTTCGACGCGTCGCCGTAATTGACTGCGGCCCTTCGGGTCCGGGTCAAACGACGAAACCCACAATTTCAACCCTGGCCAATATTACGCGATGGCTTCGTCTACCCCCTCGACATCTCGCACCAACTCTTCCACCAGCACCTCAACCTTAGATGGGGAAGAAAGTAAGAAGAAATACCCTATTGCAAGGTCGGCGTATCTTCGAGCTTTCCACTCACTCCTCGATCCCATACTCGCGAACGAGACTCACTTACTGTCACATGAGGAGCTAGTTCTTGCAACAAGGTGGGCTTTACTGCCTATATGTGGAAATCACGTAAACAGAGTCATAAAGGTGGAGATCATTGGCCCACGAAGCGAGATATCTTTTCGTCCGTTTATGGCTCCGAACTCGTGTCACTCTCCCTGCCGGTTCTGCGTCAGATGGATTGGAGGTAGAAGATGCAAAGACTAATTGGTTTAGGACGAGTGATATAGAGGCAAAGTACGGAAGTCAATTCGGGATGGAGCTTGAGGACGGAGGGAAGGAATTGGATATCCATCAGGCGCTAAAGGAACTCAAGGAAGCAGGTGAAGATATTATTATTGACCTGGCAGAAGAAAAATTGCAGACAGTTCTTTGCATGCTTAGTCTGACAGAGCTGAGGGTATGTCCTTTTTCATGGCAGTGGGTTTGGAAGAGGAGCGATGGTTTGGCGTGATCGCGAAAAGATTTACGAGAATTTTGTCTCAGCTCTGGTTATACTTGCAGTTCCAACATTTCTTTCTGAAGTGCGAAGCTCTTATTGACACTTGTGCTCTGTGATGATGTAGGCACTAGCAAAAGACCTTCGAATAGCTAATCCTGGATCTACAGTACGTCTTGCCTCTTCGTGTGCGATGTCTTACGTGAAATTGCAGACGGAAAAGATAATATCAAGTCTCATGCGTTCTTCGAGCGATCAAAGCACATTGTCATTCAGTCCCGTTCTCTCCCCTGCATCCGCGAACAAAGCAAATGACAAAGGGAAAGGGAGGGAAGTTTCTACCTCAGCCCGTTCCCTTTCCCTCAATTTTGACGCCAAAGGAATAAAGCGAACTGGATGTTCTATCGTCCTTCGAAAGGCTCTTAACATCATTGGACCGTGCATCCGACTCTCGATGCAAATAATCAACCTTTTCTCTCGTATCCATCTCATTCACAATCGCTCCACATCTCTTCCTTCACAAACCTCACCCAAGGACTCAATGACTCCTTCACTACTTCAACACTTTCACAAGCTTCATTTTCCTCCATACCGCGTTTGCCGGTCTTCACATTCCATCTTCAGGAGCCGAGAACAGCTTCTGGAGTATGAAGCTGCTCTGAGAGAGGTGAGAAGGCTGGAAGAGCTGCTGGGAGAGGAAAATGGGTGGGGAGATGATTGGCGGCAGATCAAGAAACGAAAGGAGGAGGAGGGTTGGAAGGAGAAAAAGTTGAAAGAAGGGAAGGAGATTTTTGATCAAACTTATGAGAAGTGGAAAGATGTCATCAAGAGGGAAGACGCTAGACCTGTGGAAGAGAGTATTGGTTCGTTCGTTATTCTTTGCCTTGCAAGGACAATTAAGCAACTAGAGTTGTTGATAGGGGTGTCCAACCTGCAGTACTACCATCTCCGGTTCCAAC